CTTTTGAGTCATGGTGTTAAAAAAGCTTGCAGATATATTAGTAATTTTACGCTGTTTATTGTAAAACTGAAGCGATGCATTCTGGGTAGCCTACAGCAGAGGTTCTCAAACTGGGGTCCCTGGACCCCCAAGGGTCTGTGAGAGGTATCTTGGGGGTCCTCAAACATTTTTACTAAAATGTTAATTTGGTTTTTATTTTTTAAAATGCATGGAGAAGAATGAATTAATAAACGAAACATAATAACCTAATAAAAATATATTCCTGTGGCATTTAGGGGTTGAAATGACAATAAATGATCTTTTAAAACAGTATACGGTTTATGAGGGGGTCCCTGGAATTTTTTTTGTCCTTGTAAGGGGTCCTCAGACCCAAATGGCTTGAGAACCCCTGGCTTACAGGACACAGAAAAGAAACCTGTTCATTGCAAAATAAGAGCGTGAATTTAAATAGTTTCGTGTGAGCTTCAATACGATGTGAGACAGCGGGTTGGTGAAGATGCAACCGGTCAAAAATTATAATTTCTCCCTCTATCCTCTCAAAGCTRATATAAGTATATAAACAACAATATTGATGGCTGGATATTGTTTGTTTGTCACTCAGCTCCATTTGCTTCCTGCCACGCAAAGAATTGTGGGAACTCTACTAAATGAAAACCGTCACACAGAAGGAGAGTCAGTGAGAGTATAAAGCTCTGTGAACACAACACTGCCTGAGGGTTCGCTGTTTTTACGCAGTGGAGCTGTGTTAACAAGACACACTTTCCCCTACAACGTTCAAGAAAATGATGAAACTTTAATAAAACATATTGCAACAGAATGTAGTGGGTTTAGACAGCTCTCTTCTTTACTTTAAACAATATTGACGAGTGAACTTACAATGTTATTTACAATTAGCGCTACTCAATTCTAAATTTAGAAAGCACACATCTGCACATCATTTAAAGAAAATAGTAAAACCCCTAAAGCATAAAGGAGAAATTTAGGTCTGCAGTTAGCGCTTTTGCACTTTAGGGGACTAGTGCCCACCACTCATAGTCATTTATCGCGGCATTGGATGACCAAGAGAATAGTTTAGTGGGATGGTTTGCATTAATGTAAATCTTTAAAGGGGGAGTATTATGTTATTTTCAGGCACATAGTTCAAGTCTATCACACTATCAAGTAACCATGTTCCCTTCAGTTGTTATGAAAATGCTGTATATACTGTATCAAAAATAAATAGGACTTTGCATCATAGCCTATTTAAACGCTTTGAAATTGGCCACCACTCCCACCTCAGCATGTTTTCAACCGTTTCAGGGGAGGGGTGCTCTGTGGGGAGCTTGGCTGCAGTCTGAGCTRCAGGGAGGAGCTTTGTACAAATAGGCGGTGCTTTATACCATCAAGTGTTTAGGCAGCTCCACATGGCTACCACAGGAGATTCAGAGTTGTGACTTCCTTAAACATTCTTGAACACCTAGAGCATTTGGATCAAACAATCAAACATTATTTCAAGGATAGATTAAGAAATGTTTCACATCTCTGCTGCAAAGATAGAGACTAAAATCAAGGTCAAAGTGTGGAACTTTTTTTGCAGCTCGTGTTTCCCTAGTATCTTAAAACTTTTTTTTAATTTGTCCTAATGATGGATGCAGAGGCATGCTGCTACCTAAATAAATGTAAAGTTTTTTTGTTTGCATATAGTTGCGGACATGAGTTTTTAAAACATTTACAGACCTCAACAGATGGCTCTAATCAAAAAATCTGACCCCTTCAAAACCCCAGCAGATTAAACTTCATCCCTTTGAAGTTTTTTTGTTTTATTTTATTTTGTTTAACATCTTAAAAGATTTTGACAAGTAGCTGACACTCCCACTTTGAAAAGTCATGATGAGGGTTTCTTATGGGCATGGGGGGTTGCGGGTGGATTGGTAGAAGTCACATTAGGTCGTGTGAATGAGGAAGTTCTGACATCTGTGTCAAATTATGTTCGATACTGTGCACATTGTGTGATGAGAACGAGTTGTTGCCTCTCCGCATTCGTCGCTTTTTGCTGAGGCCCCTTGAACCCAACTGACTCAAAATATGTCGTGTTCAGATAACAGGAGAAAGAGGTAGGATCAGGAAGGGAGAGTGGAGCAGTGTGATTCAGGGGAGGGTCTTGTTTACACACAGCACTGTTAACTTCACATGACATCAGCTCTTGGAGCACACACTTCAACTTTCCAAGTATCCAAGTATGGAGAAAGATACCTGTGACTATAACATCAATTATTCTGCATTCACCCACTGTTTGGTTTGTTGGGGTCTGCTTATCGTAAATCTTTTTTTTAACCTCACGATGTGTAGCAGACCCAGAAGAAAACATAAATAACCTTTCAACGTTCTTATAAAAGTAAACTATTGAAATGTTGCCTTTTCAGGGTCATAAGGAAGAATATTCATCAGTTTAGAAGAACCCTAAATCTGAAAAATGTGATGCTGTGTAAAAAGAAAAACAATGTAATAACTTCCAAACCTCATTAGATCTCTCAACAACTGAAAACCTTTGTGCATCATGAAAGAAAAACACCCAGCAAAAGATCCAGAACTGTTGAACGACTAGAATCCTACATCAGAAAAGAATGGGACATTCTCTTCCAAAACCTTCAGCAGCTAATCTCAGTTCATAGATGTTTACAAATGGTTGTTAAAAAAAAGCAAATACTTCCCAGTCAACATGACCCTGTTCCAGTGTTTTGAGTTGTGTTGCTGCCATTAAATTCAAAATTACTTTAGAAATAATAAAATAACAGTTTTGGAGTTTAAAGGAACAGTGTGTAGGATTTTGTCAAGTCTTTTAGCCGAAATTGAGATAATTACTAATGACAATAATAAAAAAAAACGTGTCTAATCATTGCAGACAAAGACCGTGTTTTATTATTTTTACCTTATAAAAAGCTGTTTATATCTCCATG